CCTCCCCGGAGCCCTTCTCCCGCCCCACCCCAGCTTACCTCGTGCTGCTGGCCTGCCCCTACTTCGTCTCAGACTTCCCGCAAATCTCTGATTCGCGGGAAGCAGGGGAGGGGGGGGCGGAGCGTTCAGGGGAGGGGAGGAGGGGGAAGTGAGCTGGGGGCGGGGTGGACAGCTGCAGCGCGGGGCCCTCTTGGCGCGGGGCCCAATTCAGCCGAATCGGCTGAATCGGCCTAAAGCCGGCCCTGCGTTGGACTCATGTTGATGGAAGTGTTCAAGGCCATTAATCACATCCTGCTCCGAAAGACCGTGACTCTGGGCAACATGCGTGACATTGTGGATGGCTTTGCACAAATGGGCTTCTCTAACTGCGGAGGGGTGATAGATGGCGCAAACATTCCAATTCTGGCACCAGACCATCTAACCACCGTGTACATTAATCAGAAGGGGTATTTCTCAATAGTTCTCCAGGCGCTTGTGGATCACCGTGGGCGTTTCATGGACATTAACGCAGGCTGGTCTGGAAAGGTGCATGATGCATGCATCTTTCGGAACACTGGCCTGTTCAGGAAGCTGCAAGGAAGGACTTTTTTTTCCTGGACCAGAAGATCACCATAGGGGAAGTCAAAATGCCCATTGTGATCCTGGGAGACCCTGCCTACCCCTTAATGTTTTAATTCTTTGTGGCTGCTTTCTAATTCTGCGCAGCCATTCAGACAGAGATAACAAAGAGGGAGGCTGGGCTCCCAAGGTCATATCTGTGAAGCTAAAATGCAACATTTTACAGAAGCAGTATTGTTTGCAACACACAAACCACTGATTCAGTGATTTAAAACACAGCCACTGTTCACATACCTGTCACTAACTGGCTAACTCCAGGCAAGTGCACGTGAGCCATAAGGCCCCCAAAGTGGTGAGTAACTGCAGGGGAAATCAGTGTTCCAGGACCATACTGTACACTGGGCACGTGGCTCTTGGGGATAGCCAGCACTGTAGGGAGGGACCTTATAATCATTACTGTCCCCACATTTTCCACAGGCTGTGTTCATTATGGAAGATATCTCGCTGCTGAGGGTGAGCAGGTATAGCGAGGTGGTCACCTGCTCCTGCCCTGAAGGGTAAAAGCAGCCCTGGACAGGGCTTCAGCTCTAAAAGCTGGGCTGATTGGGGAAGCAGCCGCAGCTGGGCCTCGCCCCAATCAGGCCTCAGCTGGCACTATATAAGAGGCTGGGAGCCAGGAGCTCAACAGTCTCTCTCTAGCTATAGAGGAAGATGGGCCTGGTTGCAGGGAGCTAGAGACAGAGTACGTGAGTGGAGCAGGGCTGGGGAAAGGCTGAGGAGCTTCAGCCTAGAAAGCCCCAGACTGTGGCCTAGCAGAAGGCCAAGGGGTACTGGGGGTTGCAGAGGGCAGCCCAGGGGTAGGCCAAGGCAGCAGGTCCAAACCCAACCTTGCCAGTGATGAGTAGGCTGATACTGCAGTCTGCCCCAGGGCGTGGGGCTAGATGATGACTGGCTGTAGCCATACACTGAGGTGAGGTGGGGATATTGGGTGGGGGTTCCCTGAGGAGGGGAGACCCTGAGACTGAGGGGTTACTGCTAGGGGGCAGCACCCCAGGTACAAGGGCACTGGGGTCCAGGGAGGGACAAGGGCCAGAGGACAGGCGGATCACTGGCCTGCAGAGGGTGCTCCAGGATGCTGGAAGAGCAAATTCCCAGAAGAGACCAGCAGGAGGTGCCGCAGGGGTAAGTCTGCTCTTCTACAGCAAGGAATTGAGGGAGGGCCTTTGCCAAGTAGGCAGCTTCTGCCCTGGCCCTTATGTGGCTCATCTGGGTGCAGCAATGGTCTCCTTCCACCCAGTGATGGCAGAGTGGCACAGGAAAGTTACCCTTAATGGGGCAAGGAACAAAGCAGCTCTGCCAAAGAGCCTGTGGCAGCGGATTACCCATTATCTCCATGAGAGTTTTGTGGAGATCTCTGAGGCAGATTGCTGTGAAGTGAGGGAGTCAATACCCCATTCCACCATTCAGACTAGGCATGTGGTGGTACATGCATCATACAGACACAAGCCTGCTTTCTGCAATCCTCCTGCCCCCAACAACTCGCTTCAGCGATTCCCAAAATCAAAGCCACTTACCAGAGTCGTCCTCTCCTCTTTGCGCTTCACCAAGCTCCGACAGCTGTGACTGGCTAGTCTCCTCTGGGGTAGAGAATTGTTCCTGCCTGCATGCATCTCTGACTTCAGAGTCCTCTGCCTTTGGGTCCCCCTCCAAGATTTCTTCCTCCTGGCTTGGTCCACTCTTGACTGGCCTTTGCAGTGGAGGTGAGGTCGCCACCGAGTATCGCATCCAGCTCTTTGTAGAACCGGCAGCTCATGGGTGCAGCACTGGAGCGGTGGTTTTCCTCCCGCACCTTGTGGTAGGTGTTCTGCAGCTCCTTCACTTTGATCCTGCACTGCAGGGTATCCCGGTCATGGCCCCTTTCTGTCATGCATTGTGAAATCTGTCCGTAAGTATCATAATTCCTACGGCTGTAGCGCAGCTGGGACTGGACAGCCTCCTCTCCCCAAATGCTGATCAGGTCCAATAGCTCAGCATTGTTCCAAGTGGGGGATTTCCTGGTGCGCGGAGCAGGCATCGTCACCTGGAAATCTGTGCTGAGACCACTGCACGCATCACCAAGCAAATAGGAAGGGGACTTTCAAAATTCCCAAGGAATTTAAGGGGTGGGGCTCACGGTTGGTCACCTGAGGGCAGGGTAGAAGAGTTGAAACAGATGACCAGAGAGGTAAGAACAGGCATTGTGGGACACCTCCCGGAGGCCAACTGCAGTGCTGTAATCGACCAAGGTGTCTACACGGCCCAGTGGCGCTGTAGCCCTAGCGCAGAAAGCTGTACACCTCTTCTCAGGGTGTTATTTTTACAGCGCTACAACTGCACAGTTTCTGCACACTAAGTGGCTTAGCACTGTGTACACCACAGGAGTTACAGCAAAGAAACTTGTCAGTGTAGACAAGGCCAAAGTATTTTTCAGAACTGGAGCCTAGGGTGAAAGGAGCACCTTGGCGATTGAAAGGATAGGTTTCAGGATAGCAGCCGTGTTAGTCTGTATCCGCAAAAAGAACAGGAGTTACTTGTGGCACCTTAGAGACTAACAAATTTATTAGAGCATAAGCTTTCATGGACTACAGCCCACTTCTTCGGATGCATATAGCGTGAAACATATATACACACACATACAGAGAGCATGAACATGAGTTGATTTCATTCTCCAGCCCATTCACACCTTAGCCTCTCTGGTAAGGAGGAAATCAAACGGTGCCAACTGTGGCAGTGATTTATGTCACGTGGATAGCTGCACTTGAGAAATGGAATGACAGCAGTAACTTTATTTCAGAGAACAATGCGGTACTTTTAAGGACTTACCTTATAATTAGAGATGGGCCCAAACCAACAAACTGGACCAAAGGGATTGCTAATGTTGGGACTAGAGCTGGTTAACATTTTTTGGTTGAAAATATTTTTTTTAAAGGGCCTTTTATTTAACATTTTTTTCCACAAAAATCTGTAATTCCCCCCCCCCCATTGTTCTGTGTGACAGAAAGTGTTCTCATAACACTTTTAATCAATATTCATAGTGCTGCAACTGCTGTAGAAATTTTTTGTTTACCGAAAACCTGGCTGGGGGAAATCAAAAAGTTCTGATAACCATTTAGAACACATTTTCTTTTTTTATTTTAAAAAATATGAACAAAACAAATTTCGGCGGTGGGAGGGTTCAAAAATTGGTCTGTTTTGAACCCTGCAAAATGAAAACGTCAAATTTTCAATATCCCCTTCCCCCCTGAAATTGTTTTCTCTTGTTTTCCCCCCCCAGCTCTGCTTAAAGTGAATCCAGTGAATGAGCCTCTCCCCTGCTGGGCAACGCTGGGGCTGGTCACCCCTCAGGAGGGCTAGGCGCTGCCTAGGCAGCTCCGGCACAGAAGGTCCCTGGAGGAGAGGACGAGCTGGGGTTTCTGTCGCACACCCCGTCCCCCCAGCACAGACAACCAGGCCGGGAGCCAGGAAGCGGCTCGCACCCAGCAGATCTCCCTGCAGTGCAGCTGTTGCTCGCATGTGACCGGCAGCCCAGGGCTGTCCCTGCTGCACCAGGTTTGCACTTAGTCCCAGTGCCCCGAGGCGAGAGCGGGGGCGCCGGGGCGGGCTCCTGTTGCTTTCGGATCGTTCGGTACGTGACGGCTTCTCGGAGCGGCGCCTCCCAGGCCGGAGCGGGACTACCTCCCGCCCCCGGCACAGAGTCACACACGCGGGGGGGAAGAGGAGGCGCCCCCCGAGCGCCGGCCCCTCATGCACCGCGCCGACCTGCAGCTGCGCCCCGCAGGCAGGAGGGGGCCCCTCTCTCGGGCCCCAGGAGCAGCGCGTGTCGCAACTCCCCCTCCCCAGCCGGGGCAGCCTCCTCTGGGGAAGATAGCAGCAGGCGGGCGGCCGCAGTGAGCAGCCACGGCGGGGCCCTCCGGCGCCCCCAGAGACCGGCACGGGGCTCAGGCACCAGCAGGTACATCCAGCGCGCTGCTTGCTGCGCCCGAGGCAATATACAGCAGCCGCCACCTCCTCCCCTACCCTGGGGCTGCATGGCCGCTGTCCCCAGCCCGCTCAGCTCTGGGTTCTGCCCTTCCGCGCCCTAAATACCGTGTGGGGTCGGACTCCTTCTCTAGCGCTCGCAGAGCGGCGCTTCCTTGCGCGCCAGCACATCCTGCTAACTTAGATAAGTCGTTTGAGCGTTTGCAACCCTTCCTGTGGATCGACTTGAGACGGGCCGAAATAGACCCCGAACTTCGGGGCAGTGCTACCGAGAGTGGGATGGGGTGGTTGGGTGGCAGGGTTTAATAGGGAGGTGTGGGTATAAATTGTTCAGTGCACTCTGTCCGTTGTAATACACCTGCCCTCTCCCCCAGCATGGTAAGTACGAAAGTTTTGAATATTTTAAAATCTGGGGCAATTTTATAGTTTGTGTGAAGTAAAATAATTGAAACGAGTTTATGGAAATGCCAAAATGAAATGATGTTTAGCCGTTCTGGTGACATCTGCCTGTTCCACTTCCCCCTTGTTTGGGCTGATGGTGGTGTGGATTAAGTCCTCAGATTAGATCCGTGTTCATTGAGGCTCAAAAGCTCTGCCAAAATGACTTTAGTGTCTGGTTTAAATTGAGGCAAGCAGGGAGATAGAGATGCCCTCTCTGCTCTGAACACCCTGAACCTCTATGTTGTTTATGTAAGAGCACCTTCTGTTTTGAGATCGTTTGATAGAGGATCATATTATTTACAGCACTGAAGCACAACAGAATGAGTTCAGAGTAATCTTACATACTGCCTTTGTTCTGGGGTTTTTACACACCAAACCGTTTAGTATCCATTTCCTAGACAGACTGAAACTGTACAAGAGCTAACAGTGTAAGCAGGCATTTGTACCAATTTGTGATTTTTCATTGCAGAGTGGTCAAAACACCTGAGCCCAATATACTGTCACTGGCAGGATAAAGCTGCACCAGTGCTGGAAAATGGATACTTCATTGCCTGCTGTGGGTGCAACCAGAATATTCTGGGGTGGTTGTTAGTATAAACTAAACCAACCTTGCCATTTTTAAAAAGTTTGCTTAATTTTTGTGTAGAGTGTATGTTGTGGAGTCTGAGCACCTCAAGAGTCCACAATTTCCTTCTCTTTACTCTTTCCTAAAAGGGTCCATATCATTATCTCTACAATCCTTCCTTCAGCTCAGGAGCACAAGACTTAATTCCCTCCAGAACCTGTCAACATTGCTCCATATGTCAGAAAGAACAAGAGTGATCTTTTGAGAGCAACACAGTGCTCTTCTCATAAGGGTGAAGCCAGCCTCTGGTAGTCCAGGGATCTCAGAATGCAAATGTAGATCCCTTAAACACAGTTAATAGGATGACAATCCCTTTAATGTTAACATTCATTTAAAAGAAGGGTGTGCAGGAGAGTGATGACGTATGTGTAACTATTTTTAGTGCAGTTCTAAAAGATTGAGACCTTGTGTCTTGCATTTTATTTAGAAAAGAAGCTAATATTGCAGCTCTACAGTAGAAAACCGCTGCAGTACAGATGGCGGGATTTGTGACCCCAGTTAAATCCAGAGATTGAGTGGAACATTACTGTACACAGTGAATAAAATGTACTCTTGCCATGTATTAAAGCACAAATGGCTCTGAGCTGTGGACAATGGTAATAAAGGTATAAGAATGCTCATGAGCTATTTTATAAGTAATGAAATATAAAATGGTCAAACTATGAAACTTTCTGTAAGCACTGTACAAAAATACTATTGGCTGAAGTACTATGAGAGGAGGAAAAATGACAAGTCAAAAGGGAAATGGATGCATTCCATGATGTGGCTTCTTCACATGAATTCATAGAATTTAGTCAAATGAAAAATTGGTGCCTCTAGGTGTACATTTTTGTGACATTCATATCTTTGAATAGATAAAGTGAAATGAAGTTGAGGGTATAACATGATTGGCAGCTGCATACTTTTTTCATGCTTCAACATTATAACTTGTCTAGCAAGCTGGCTTGTGTCTATATCCTTTGCAAACAGCAGGTTTTTTCTGACTTTTGGGTGCTGATTGTTAATGCATCTATTAATGTTTTTAGTTTAGATGATATTAAACTGTTTCAGAAGCTTCAATACCCAAAATGTCAGGCAGCAGAGTGTTAATTTCTATTGTCAGCAATAGCACATAGCAACAGATGTCAAGAGCAGGAACAGTAAACATTTTTCTTAATTTGCTGATGGTTTCCAGATTTGTTTGTTACACCATTCATTTTGTAATTCATAGCATAATCAAGAGTCTGTTGCCACTTTCCTGAAAATAAGCTTAATTTTTTCTTTACACTCTATTTAACTGTATTTAATTCATCTGAGGCCATAGAACAAAGTGCTAGTTAAAATAGCTCTGACAGTAATTATTTTAGATATGTTTATTATCAAGGCAAAGGACTTACCCAGGTTTGAAAACAGAGCGAAATGTGTGGCCTGGTCCAAAGTCCACTGAAGTCAATGGAAAGACTCCTTGAAGAGTCAGGATTTTATGAAAGTACATGGTAGCTGAGAAGTTACTTGGGAATTTTATGAGAAGCATTGATTTCTGGAATCGGCCGTGACATTATGCGTATATACTAATTAGGGTTGTAGCAGAAGTGAAGGAATAGATAATAAATTGCTGTGAGTCTGCAGAGTACTGGTTAGTGCAGAGGCAGGATATGTGTAAAAGCACCCTTAAGATGTCTGTTGTGGTTTTTTTTTTTTTTTTTTTTTTTTTTCTTGTGTAGCTGATCAAATTAAAACTATTTGAAAATTAAAAACACGATATCATATGTCATAGGATGCGTTGTGGGACCGACACAGATACAATAGTAGTGCTTACGTGATATGATCTAAGCAGTTCTGTGTACTTATTTGAATTCTATAACAATAAAACGGATTAAAAACCTAAAATGAAGCTGAAAACAAAAGGATAGCAATTATCAATTTGTAACCACCTGCCCCAGAGAACAATCTATTAGTTTTTATGTGACGCAATAGAGGATAGGGGAGAATTGAGTATGTAATCTTTACCAAAAGGGTGAAAACTTTTACTTAATAAAGTGACACTTCCCGCCACCTGTCATTCACATATCTCAAGCATAGTCTTGTCGTTTATACTTATGTGTTTTAAATGACTCTATCAGGATGGGTGCAGACAACCTGTATCTCGGTGGTCAGATTGAGAGGCAAAGTGGTGCTACTTAACTGTTGTCCACATTCCAGAATTCTGCCCTAGGGTGACCAGATGTCCCGATTTTTATAGGGACAGTCCTGATTTTTGGGTCTTTTTCTCATATAAGCTCTTATTAGCCCCCCACCCCCTGTCCCGATTTTTCACACTTGCTGCCTAGTCACCCTAGTCTGCCCACAGGCAAAAACTCTACCTGGAATCCCAGAGTAGTTTGATGTTTCTGCTAAAATGATCAGCAGTGAAGTATTTTACAATGTTGATATTTGAATTGTCATTAGGCTTCACAGCCAACACTTTGTAGAGACAAATGGGGTAAATTTTTGCCTCTTAAGACCAACTGTGCCTCTCTCAGGGTAGCTAAGAGGATACAAGGTAAAAAGGAATCCTTTCTCCAACTCAGTAGTCTGGTGTGGAGTGGTTGCATAGTTGTTCTGCAACTAATCTCCATGGGCTGAGGTGACAGCTGGGGCCTTTGTTCATCCGCTATCTGGGGAGGTAGGCCTCTGGATTTATGTAGTGGTGGAGTCCTGACCACTTCCTTATACTGCCCCGCTACACTGCCAAGTCATGCTAATTCTTCTGTGAGGTCTGTCTTCCTCTGTAGCCAGGAGCTGTGGTGTGTTTGGCACTTAACTGAGCTATGATCAAGTGTAGTTTCTGTTCTTCTCAGTTTAATTACTTGTCTGCAGGTCCAGCCCTGCATATTCAGAATGTTATTTTTGCAGCCATAAGAGTCAAAGATTTTGGCCCCAATTCTGGGCTGAACTTGTTGTAGATGCAGCCCAGGAGAGGGAGTGGGGCACTGCTGTTGCCCCTCCTGGACTCTTGGGCTGCTAGGATCCCGTTTGACCCTGGGCATAAGCTAGTGTATTGACACTGGCTGCTCTGATTTACGCCTCTGCTGCTGTGATTTCCAAGGGACTGTCTGGCAGCCCAGAATGGCTGAAGCACAGAGATTTCCAGCTACATCTTTCGTCCCTTCACATTTCCTTCTTTCCCCAGGATGTTCTCCTAGCATGGTCCTGCAGCAGAGACTGTGATGAAGTGTGACATAGGTCCATTACGCTGGCCATCCATTCTCAGGGACTCCCCTTACAATAAGGGTAATCTGTGGTGTGCAGATCCGTCTGGTTAATTGGAGAATGCCGCTACCAGGCTGGTAAGGTTTGCTCTTTCCAGATCTGAGTCTAGACTCAAAGGAGATATTAAAGCCTTAAATGTTGCTGGTCTAGGCAGGAATTGGAGTGAGGCTGAATGAGTTGCTGGGAGCTGCCCAAGGAGTGTGAGTGAGTGCTGACTGGGTGCAAGGAGATCCAGAAAGCATGTGACAGCAGAACAGTCTGCTTGTCTCAACCCAAAGATGGTGGTAACTTGAAGCCTGTAAGGAAAGATTAAGATTTAGGTAAGGGAAAACATGTGTATAGGCCTTTGTTTTATCCCTTTGCTCTGCATAGTGTGTACCTTTGGGTGAATCAATAAATAGTGCTTTATTTTGAAGTTGTTTTTGGGTCACTTTATTCAGCCACTGTCTCAGACTGCAGAGGAAAAGGGCATACAAATACCATTGGGTCTGTCGAGTTAACACAGTTGGTAAATAGGGGGCTGCAGCCTAAAGATCCAGTCTAGATTCCAAGACTGGACGGGACTATTGTGATCATCTAGTCTGGTCTCCTGTATAACACACACAACTTCCCCAAATAATTCCTAGAGTAGATGTTTTAGAAAAATATTCAATCTTGATTTAAAAATTGTTAATGAT